CTTCAGTGGGTCTACCGCTTTGCGGCCTCAGTGGGTCCGCCCGACACTCTACACCTGGGATCCCCCCACAGCTGCCGGTGTGCCTGGGTTGCGTGCCCAGGTCAGTCTGGTGGACCCCCCCCTGCCCAACCCCGCTCAACCACTGGCTCCGCCCACCCCACCAGCCTGGCTGAAGGGTTCGCCATTGTCAGACTTCTGTGTAGTTCAACCCTCCGTGAACTATGATGGCTGTGCCTTCGCCAGCAAAACTCTGCTATTCTCAAACTTGGCTGTGTGAGAAGGCAGTGCCTCCACCTACACCTCCATCTTGGCGGAAGTCTTCCCTCCTTTAAATATTTTAAAGTACAAATTTAATGTAATTGCAAATTCAATATATTTGATGCTTGTAAACTCTTCAAATATTTTCCAGGGCCGACTTAAAAATCTAATGAGCAAAATTTTTGTAAGCACCTAGGTAATTTCTATAACTCCAAAAAAGCAAGTGAAAAAATGTACTGAATCAAACTTTGAAAATTCAAACACTTTTCCCAAATGTAACCAAATTGTCTTCTACCCTTCAAATTAAATTCAGAACTCTAATATTAATTACACATTTCAAATTGAAATTATAAAGTTGATATTTCAGATTTAAAAATATTTTGGTTTCTTTAATTGTTTTAGACACATTAAATAACAAAGACATTGTCAGGAGAATCTTAAAACTTATTTCTAAACTTAATACAAAAGTGTTAAAGCTATGGGTTTCATTTATGTCATCAACTCTGTTTTTATTTTTCTCTTTAAATACTTTGCTGGTGTTGTAAACCCACTTAACACAGGGCACAGATCATATTAACCATCTCAGACAGCTCCTTGGTCAAAGATTCTGACCCTGAGGTTCTTCAGGGACTTGATCTGGGCTACTGGCTTGAGAATCTGAGGCAGTTACTGGTCTCTTCTCACATAACATGACACAAACCATAGAATAACACTCAATTCTAAGAGTTGGGGACAGGCTATTAAATCAGTGGAAGACCTTAAGACCAGGCTTTTTAGCTGTTGAGTTGGTTTTACAACTAAGCCCCACGGAAATCTTTCAGATGGCATCCTTACCCAATTTTTATCTTAACCATTTTCCATATACCTATCAAACACTACAGATTTACTGAACTCAACTAATTTTTTTAGTACCTGATTTTTCCAATGTTTGCTGATGGTTACAATTCTATACTCATTATAATGATTAATGGATGATTTAAAATGTCAGCATTCTTATGCATTTACTATTTATAATGGCCACTGCTCACATTTACCGGGTAATAATAACAAGTAATGGGAGTTGCTGCTGAGACTCTTCTAGAAGCCAGGAGGACCTTAAAAGGGTTGAAGATACACTGCAACAACATTTGGAGTTTGGCAGAAGATTACTCTGAGAGAACTTGCCAGTGGCTGGGGCAGCTTAGCCTGTCTGGTCTGAGAGTGAGAATGACCCAGCTTAGGGACCCTGGAGAGGAGAACTACTCTGCGGGAGTAGCGACCTAATGTTAGTGTACCCTAGGTGCTATTTCATTCAGGCAGGAGCAGTCAAGAAAAAGCTGCCTTGTATATCTACTTCAAGAACTACTAACCGTCTTGCATCTGCACTAAACTACATCACCTCCCCCATAGGTTACTCAAGGCTTGGCTCCCATAATCCTCCCTTTTCTCTTCTGCATTCTTTCTCCCACCTACCAAATAGTTCATATGAACCTACCGATGTACTATAAAAACATCATTTAAGCATAAAAATCCTCTTTTGATCCCACAGCCCCCTCCAGGTATCATGGCATTTCTCTGTTCCGTTGCCCGCTTTTTGTACCCACTTTTATTTCACAGTGAAACTAATCAAAGGAGTTTTGTCTGTACTCAATGGCTTCACTTCCTCTTCTTTCATTTTCCCCTCAACATATTCCAGGAAGGCTTTTGTCCTCAAGCTCTGTCCTCCCTTTTGTTATGGCTACCTACAGCCTCTTTCTCACAGGATCCAGTGGCCAGGTACATGGGTACTCAACCTCTTGGCACCATTGGGCTTGGTGAACCATGTCTCCTTCACCCACTTTCTCCAGCTGTTTTCTCGTTTTTTTTTTTTTTTTTTAAATCTCATCATTACTGCTCTTTAATGTCCTTTGAGGGCTCTGTTCCTTCCTTGCAGCTTCTCTATGTTGCTATGCCCAGGGATTAGTCTTGGGCCATTCTCTCTTTTCTAGCTACACATTCTTGTTAGGTGGTCTCAGGTGACCCATGGCATGTGACCCTATCCTGAGTCTGATCTCAAGGGACATTCAAATTTTATATGTTTGTGAGTGTTGAGTAAGTATCTCAAATATAACTTGGCCAGAACACAACTCTCTCCCCACCCACCCCCCACACAATGCCTGCTTCTCTTTGAGGTTCCCCACTTCCATAAAATGCCCCCAAGTACCCACTTACCTGTGAGTCCCTCAATTGCTCTCTCTCATCTCCTGCATTTACTCCAGCAGCCACTTCTGTTGTGTCTGTGCCCAGAATACATCCTTCACCACCTTCTCTTTTAGTACCTTCATCCAAGACACCTACATCTCGGGGAAGTCCATGGCCACTACCTCCTAACTGGTCTCTCTGCTTCCACTCTTGATACCTTCTCCTCCTGCCCCCAGGGTCCATTCTTCACACTACAGCAAGAATAACATATGACATCATCCTCCCATGTGTAAGACTTTCCAATGGCTTTGCATGACACACTCAGTTCAAACTCCTTACACAGAAACCTGGCTCTTTCCCACTTCTCTGTCTTCCTCTCTAGTACATTCTTCTTTGCCCACTCTGCTTCAGCCATGTTGGTCTCCTTGCTATGTCTCATTCATTCTAAGCCCATTTCTGATCTGGAGCCTTTATGTATTGCAATCCTATTCTCTTGGCATCCTGTTTCCCAAATCTTTGCAAAATTGGCATTTTCTCTAACTACATTCAGGGCTCTGCTCAAGCCACATTCTCAAGTTCCTCCCTTCCCTGACCACCTCACTTAAAATAGTACCTCTCATTGCACCCACCCAGCTATTCTCTATCCTATTACCCTATTAGTTACTTTCTTATCACTGATGACGAACGGAACCACAGGTGCTAGACCTAATCACCTGACCCCACCCCCATCTAACATTATTACAGAGGAGGAAAAGAGGTCAGAGGTAAGAGTGAAGCCATGCCTCCCACTCCAACCTTCTCCCCATATTCGTGCAGCAGAGCTCAATTTGTCGTTGTCACTGCTGTCACCTGACACACTGACATCAGCTGAGTCACTTCTGGCATTCATCTGGTACAATGAACACAGCACCAGGGCAGGTGGCCACATGCAAACTACATGGCCCCAGGTGGCCCCTCTCTGGCCAGGCTCTTCTCCAGGTTGAGTGTGGCAGCACATTGGGATGCTCAGGCAGCAGTTGTGGAGTCCTCAGCCCTCACTTCCTGCTGCTCTTGGGGGAATGAAGGACTTCATAACTTTTTTTTTAAAGATGCTTTAGGGTTTTTTTAAAAGATTTTATTTATTTATCTTTAGAGGGGAAGGGAAGGAGAGAGGGAGAGAAATATCAATGTATGGTTGCCTCTCGTGAGTCCCCTGCTGGGAACTGGCCTGCAACCCAGGTATGTGCCCTGACTGGGAATCAAACTGTGATCATGGGGTTTGCAGGCCTGCACTCAATCCACTGAGCTACACCAGCTAGGGCTAGGACTTCATAACTTTTTTGACTCTGCAGGCTGATGGGATTTGGGTGCAGGGGATGGAGGTGAAAGCTTGCAGAGAAGAAGAAGCACTGACCCTTTCAAGCAGCCTGTGGGACCTGGCTCAGGACCTGGAAGGGAGTGGCCAGACATCAGTCACAGCCCATACTTTTAGCCAGTGTCATTCAGCAAGTGTTGATAGACAATTGGAATATTTTCAATTTTTTGCTATTGCAAGTAATGTGCAATGAATAATTCTAATCATGTGTCATTTCACAAGGGTGTAGGTCCATCTATAGGATAAATTCCCAGCAGTGAAATTGCTGGGCCAAAGCAGATATGCACTTATAATTTTCATAGTTATTATAAAATTTTCCTCAGTAGGAATGATACCAATTTATGCTCCCACCTGTAATGTTTAAGAGTGGAAATCTTCCCGCAATTTTGCCAACAGGGTGTGTTGTTAAACTTCTGATAGTTGTAATCTGGTAGATCATTGGTACTCTAGCTGTTACTTTATCTTATTATAAGTAATGCTGAATGTCTTTTACTCTGTCCAAGATCTAATAGTATTTTCTTTTTTGTTGACAGTCTATTAAAATATATTTATTGGTTTTTGTTTATTTCATTAAACTTTTGTTCTTGTTCTTTTTTCCTAATGTTTTGAGGGAACTCTTTGTAAATACTAAGCAAATTCTCCCTTTGTCTGAAATCCAAGTTACAACAGCTTTCCCCCGGGGTTGTTTGACTTTGCTTCCAGTGACTTCTGCAGTCCTGAGGTTTGCTCCAGCATCATTCATTCTCACACCCCATGCCTCTGTTCACAGTGGTACCTCCACCTGAAGTGACATTTTTTCCCTTTTCTACTTGTCATGTTGCCTTTATTTTGCTTGTTTATCCCTGCCTCTTCTGTCTAAGTAGCAACGCCTTACTGTTCTTGTTTCTGTGCTCCCAACCCCTGGGATGTAGCCTTTGCTTAATAAATGTTTTTGAATAAAGGAATAGAGAAATTGTGGGCAGGCAGCCATTTCCACAACCCTCAGTTGCTGTAACACTTCAGCTGATCTTGCCCTGAATGTCATTTTGATGAAAAACAAGAATGAAAGGGATGGGTGGGAGGAGGCTCTGTTGGGCCAGCATGTTTCCAGGGACTTGGCAACACTTGGTGAGGAGTGGGCTGCCATATCGCTAGCCAGGCTCTCCTGGCTCCATTCATCTTCCCTCCTCTAGGTCAGAGCCAAGAGTAGTCAATCACCACATGGAAACAAATTTCTTTTTCAGTGAAATTTATTGAAGAATTATTGAAGCAGTGTGATCTTACTTCCTCATTCACAAGTATTTCTATTAAAATAATCTGAGCTTATTCAGCCAGGTGAAAGAACTTGATATAAAGACAGCACAGTTACCCAGATCAAACTGGCTCCTTAGTTATTGAAGACTGAACTCTCACAGAAACTGCTGCTTCTTGGCCCCCTTGAACTAAATTAAATAGACAAACCCATCAATAAATAAATAAATAAATAGATAATTTAAGTGGATGCTCATCAGAAGCCGGGTACAAAGGACAGAGGGTGTCCATGTGCAGGGGTTTCTGTCAGGTTGGCTTTTGTGAGCAGAGGATGGGAGAGGCCTGGCTCAGCCCAAGGGTCTGAGGATTGGCCCCAGGAGGAGGGGGCTGCTCCTCCTGGCTGGTGGTTTCCTTAGTATTAGCGCAGGGAAGGCAGCTGGGCATTGACTAGACAACAGCGACATGCAGCCCGCTGCCATGTTCAAACTATTTTTTCCCATTTCTGTAGCCCTTGGGGTTACGCAGCACATGTGGGTACTCTGGGTGCAGTTCTCTTCAGGAAGACAGGATTTCCAAGGTGAAGTCAGTTATATCTCGGCCCCCTCTAACATTTCCTAGGAAGACGGGCATCTGTTCCGCTTGCGAGGTGCTGATGTACCAGCTGGGATACAGGGCAGACTCAAATTCTACTTTGCCCATCACTTCTGTCTTGTTGAAGACAAATCGCTTTTCCATCTTCTTCTTTGACTGAGCTTTGGGGTCTAATGTCTGCAGCAAAACAGAAGTTAAGAATTTTGTGAGGAAAAGGACAAAGACACTCTGAGAAAATCATCCTATGGCTCAGTTAGAGAGGGAACCAAAGAACCAAAACCAAGAGCCAGAGTCCTGAGTTATCTTTGTGACCCCAACTTCCCATGTGGTGACTGAAGGAGCTTGTACCCTTTTCTGAAACTGAGTGTTAAATGGTAGGGAGCATAATGAGAGGTGGGCATTTTTTAAAAAGTGACTTTTGCTGTATTTTTTTTATTTTTAGGTGCTTAGCTAGAATGACTTCAACTTGGAAATGAAGCTTTTGCTGGAAAAGCTGGAGGGTGGAAGGGATTGTGATTTGGGGAGTGGAATGGAGACAACAACAGGCGACAGGTCTCTTGAACTGATTAACTTTCCCAAGCGTCATCCATCAGATGGAGCAACCCTAGCACTTCATAGTCTGCTGGGTGGTGAGAGTGACAGGGCATAATCACAACAGCAAAATGAGGTCATTTTCTGCAGTGGCAGTGAATGGCATGCATTTAACAATTACATTAAATGTATTTATATTTCTGCAAGATTATCAAGTAGACCTACTCTCAGCTTTTCTGGGGGTGCAGAATGTGGTTGTCTTAGAAGTCAGTGACGGGGTAGGGGTGCTTCAGAAGAGCTGAGAAGGCACTTTGGCCACTGGTACTCACTCACCTCCAGTTGCAGGGTGGGCTTCCCATCCCTCATCATGCAAGAGAGGTATAGGTCTTTTGCCTTGATGCCCAAGGCCACAGGAATCTTGTCATTATTTTCTTCTCCTGGCACAAATCTCATGCAGAACACCACTGGAGAAAGAAGAGAGGTCTTGCGGTCAGGGAAGCACAGCAGTGGAGGGTTGGCCCACCCCTAGGCCCTGGACTCGTACAGCTGAGCCTCCTCTGTGGGAACTACCCCACAGATTCTCACAGACCATATCAGGGTCAGTTGGTTGATTCCAGCCTTTCCCAGAGAAAGTCTGAGGGCTTCACAGAGCCTCATCACAGCGGCTGTGAAGAATTAGGGGCTAATTTTTAAAAACTGAAGGAAGGAGGGAAGCCATCTTGTCACTGGCCGGTGAGGCATCCTCATGAAAAGAATGGTTTGATAGATGTGAAAGACCAGGAAAGAGGTCAAGCTGGGCCCCCTAAGTCTGCTCAGCACAGATCTATTTCAAGAATGTAAAACGGCAAGTAGGAAGAACTTAGGTGAGGAGAGGCTCAGCTATGAAAAGTGGCTGCAAAGACAGACACTCATTTTAATCTTCCTTAGTCACAGCTATCTCAGTTGGAGGCCCCAAGGTCATGCGTCCAACCCAGTTCTAAAGATACAGGATAGTCCTGGCCTGGCTGAGAGCGGGAAGCTTCCCTCAAGAATGTCTATCTCTAAGGTCGGTAGTCCTGGAGGAGAACAGACTGTTCGTTTCAGCTGCTCCCTTGGCTGCACCCATGCATACAGGATTCAGCCACAGTGGCAAGGTGCCAGGCAGCTCCCACAACTAATGGGCTCCCCAGACTTGGAAGACTTGCCAGTTACAGCAGAGAGATAAAAGTTCCTGCTTGTCGGTGAAATTTCCCTATAAGGACTCATCTGGTGTTGGGTGGGAAAGATGCTCAGGGCGCAGGGGCAGGGCCAGGAATGGGGAAGGACATATTATCTCCTCACCATTCTACTTTCAAACTCAACAACGAGAAAAAAAAAAAAACCCACAGGAATTTAGGTCACATCCATCAAATGACCCCTTTCTAACAGAAGCACTGACATTGTGCTGTCATTAAATGACTTGTCTGGACTTGGTCCTGGGTATGTTCAAGCAGTCTAATTTCTCAGAGTTACATTTCTTGCCAGAAAGTGAATGTGCTAAAGGAATCAATCTGGTGTCATTGCTGGGACTCAAACAAAAAGCTACCTATTTTTTAAAACATATTTTATTTATTTATTATTAGAGGGGAAGGGAAGGAGAGAGGGAGAGAAATATCAATGTGTGGTTGCCTCTCATGCATCCCATGCTGGGAACTGGCCTGCAACCCGGGCATGTGCCCTGCCTGGGAATCAAACCACAATCCTTTGGTTTGCAGGCCTATGCTCAATCCACTGAGCTATACCAGCCAGGGCAAAAAGCTACCTATTTTTTAGAACATATCCCCCCGCCCCATGTTGATAATTTGCCTTAATGTTCTACATTGCTGCAAATGTGGAGGGTAATCAAGCTGCCAGGATGCCAAGAGAAGAATCAAGATTTCCCACTCACCTCCTTGGTTCACATTCTGTCTAGTGAGGTGAAGAGCCTGCAGCTCATGCGGTCCAGACAGCACCAGGGATTTTTGGTTTATGTCACGGAGTCTGCAGTTCAGCGATTGTAGGAGTGCATCACACTCATAAGTGTCATCCCACATGCTATCGATGGGTTCTGAAATGTGGAACATGCATTGTTTAGGTAGAAAACGAAAAGGGCAGGACTGATGATGGGGATTTGGCTTGTTGGAGGACATGCACACCTCAAGACACTGTAACATGGTGGAGAGGAAGCTGGGGTGGGTAAGAACAGTGGACATGGCACCATCGGACATGGGTTCAAGCTTCAGCGCTATTGCTTGCTATGGACAAGCAGTAGAGTGACTTATATAAAGCAGCAGTTCAGTGACACCGGCCCATGAAGAGAAAACAGAAAAGGAGGCGCTCTGAAAATGAGAGAGTGGTTTGCAAATCTGAGTAGTAATCAAGGTATTTTGAGAATAGTTTCAACTAAAGGGACGTTCAATTTGGTTTCTAAGCCTTCTCTGCTTTCCTGTCACCACTGATGGACCTCACATTTTAAAGGGTATTAATGAAAGAATGTTTAAGTCTATAGAAAGCTTTCCAAGAGTTTATCTGAAACAAGAATTTGAGAACATGCCCAGAAGCGAGGTCTTAACAGACTGAGAAAATATTTCAGAGAATGACCGTTTTGTAGTTCATTTTATGCATTGGAATCAAAGGGCCTTCATAGTTTTCCCTTTTATAGTAATTTCAACTTTATCCTAAAGTCTTGGTAAGAAGGGGAAATGCCCCCTCGGAATCCTCAGGGCAACCCTATGCTTACCTCTTCTTTTCCTAAATCCCATTTCGGTTTTCTGCAGTCCTTCCTATGATGACCTGGCTTTTTACCATAAGAAGGCTTTTAGTGAGGTCTGACCCGATTGCTTAATTGCTGGAGCTGCAAATTCATAACTTCAGTAGCTTTATCTTTTTCTTTTGGGGGGATAGTTTTAGATAATCAGCCAAATTGTTGGTTTTACACATTCTATTAATTAAATCAAATTTCTTTGGAAATCCATCAGAGTCTTGGAGAAGATCAAGGAAATCTTTAGTTAGATTCCTTAATTCTGTTTTAGTCCAGAAAATGTATACAATTGCTGGTTCCCCTCACCTGCGCTGGCTTTTCCCTAAAGGGAGCTGCCAGTATTTCTGGTTTATCCTGGTTTGGCTTCTATTCTCAGTCTCCTCCAGGCCATTAGGGAGGGGTGGTGAAGGAGGTGTAGGGAGAGAGAGGAAGGGAGGGCAAGTCTGTACCAGAGGCACATAGTTCTTTTACATTGGTGGGTACAGGGTAATGAACACTTAACATTTACATAGAGATGGTGTGTGGGAGTTAGATGACAATGAGGGGTTCAGTGGTCTCCTGCTTTGGTGCCTGCAGTTGTGCCTCTGAGGGGCAGGGAAAGAACATGACCCTGACATTTCAAAAGTGTGTTCTCCTAGAAGCATAAGAACCTTGGACAGGGATCCTTGGACAGTGACCTGCTAAGGAAACTGCAGTCCTGGGACTTGACGACCACCAGGAGCTGCCCAGGCAGCATTTTGTGGTCAGACTGAACTTGGTGGTTACTATGGGCTACAAAGCTTCCAAGACCTGCCACCTGGCCCCCTGAGCTCTCTGAGTCCACATCATCCCTTTTCTTCACAAAGGTTTCAGGTTCAGAGGAATTTAATTGACTGTTGCGTTATGGATGCTGAGAAGGGAATGAGCAGAGCTCTGCTGTCTGCCCTTAGCTCTCATTAAGTACCTTCTTTAAAGATGAAGAAAAAGAGGCCTCTCAGGTCATCGTCCTGGAAGTCCTGTGAGCAGACAATGGGCACTTTCCTCAGCTTCTCCACTGCAACCATGACTGACGCGATCCGCTTGAAACTTGAGTCGCAAAGCTGGTGGGAGACTTTCAGCTGGATGCTCTCGTCTCCCAGAGGGCTGAGGTCCAGGTTTTGAAAGGAGCACTGCGGAAAGACCAAGGAAGTGAGCGTGTTAAGAAGGTTGGGCCAGAAAATTTCCTTTTTGTCATCAGAGAGGCAGAAGGGGCCTTAGAGGTAACAGAACCTCTAAGGGCAAACTCTCATCTCTCTGAAGACCAGAGAGATTAAGTGGCTTACCCCAGGGCACCTGGCAGGTTAGAGGCCAGAATGTGGGCTTTCCAATGCCTGACAGGGTATTCTTTTAGAATAAATCCCACTTGTACCTTATGTATCTTTTTACACCTGCTCCACTCACCACAGACTTCTTACCTCCTCACACTTTATACCTGTTTGTATCCCTAATACTCTAAACTATGCATTTAATTTTTTGTGTCAGTGATGATCATAATGTTTTGTATACATCTGTGCTCATTCAACAAGTTTCTACTATTCTAAACAAGTTCTTTTTTCCCCCAGAACACTGTTTCATAAGCTTGCTGCAAGTAAGTTAAAAGCGGTTACTATTTGTGAACTATGTTCCCACTTTGCTGTTATTCAGAGAAACTGTGTGACTGTATTAAGGCTTATCTGAAGTTGTCCTAAGGCATGATGCTGGTTTAAAAGCCTGAGGGACAGTTAAAGAGACCTCTGGCAGCACAGAGGAAGGCTGACTGAGAGGTAGGCTCCTGCCCAGAGCAGAGGCTCTGGGGCAGAGGGCCCAGAGAGCGGAGCTGCTGGCAGAGGCAAAGGGCCAGACAGAGAAGCCAGCCCACCCAGGTAGGACTAAACCAATTAATGCTGGTTTTAAAACATTTCCCTTGAGGTCCAAATGGGTAGAATGACTTGTCCAAGGTTAAATAGCAAGTGAATGATATTCTTTCAACTGCCAATTCATCTTTTTATTTACATTATCTACATTTTGTTGTCATAAACTCTACCCCAAGGAGCAAAAAGTGATTTCATAAATGTGGGCAGACACATTAAGGTCATCTGCTCTGGGTCTCAGGACTTGGCCCAGGGAGTAATGTAGGCTGAGACCCTTTTCTAAAGGGAGAATCGAATCTGCATTGAAACCTTGCCTGCCTTTCTGGCCTTACACAGCAAACCTCCTCACCACTCTCACCCCCTCACCCTCTGCAAGCAGGGCGTATCCCCAAGCCTTAGTGAGTGACTGTGTGGCGTGGGAGCTGCACAATAGCCAGGTCAGCATGCAGCCTAGCCTGTCTTACTGGAAAGCATGAAAGTCGTTCCATCACAAAGTACCACAGGATCAAGTTGGCCGAGAACCCTGTTCCTCAAGCCTTTCCCAGTTCAAAGCCCCTCTATGGGTTGGATACTAAGCTCATGGTCTCACCTTAGTCTGTTGGGGGCCATCAGCCTCAAAGAACAGGTCATTCTCATTGTCACTGTAATAAAAACAGAGACAGTAATCAACTATGTCTCCCAGACAATTTTACTTTTTCTTCCTGAAAGCAATCTTCATTGTTAATATGAAACAACAAGCAGCAGGTCCCTTAAAGCTTCTAGAAGCTGGCAAGTTCTGTGGGGATATGCATGGGACCCACAGGAGGCCGGGCAGGCAGGGTGCTCCCTGTGGGGTCCTGGGACCTAATATACAGCCCAGTTAAAATCTGAGCTTTGCCTCTCGCTGAAGTCAAACTTCGCCAAGGGACCCCCTGAACTCTCCACCTGGCATCCTCACTTCCTGCTTGCCATCTGCAGGGAGTTCCTGCAGCAGCATCGGCATGCCTGGGGTTCCCAAGGCCTGACTTCCTGTGGGAAATCAGCATTTAAACCAGGTAAACTTGAACCCCACTTTCCACAGAATGGTACAGTTTAGGGGACAAATCTGGCCTCCATGCACAGGCAGCACTTGGCTGATGGAAGGGGTGCCCTGTTCCCGTCACTGGTCTCAGTCTCCCCACTGACCTGTAGCAAGCCATCATTTCACTGTCGAGTTCAGGTACTGCTGCCATGGCTGCTTCAGAAACCTGCGCAAAGAGGAAAAAGTGAGTGACCACTTGCCATGCAAGGCTGCCTTCATAGGTGAGTTTCCCTCAGCACCTAGTACATGGCCAGCACATGAAGAAATGATTTTTGAATGAATAAACGAATACATGAAAGAGCCACACTTTTTGTCCAGAGAGAAACATTTGCTAAACCAAAGCCAAATCAGGTGTGCATCTGTTAGAAGATCTGGAGCGGGGCCTTTGACACTGATCTCTCAGGTGTCAGCTGCTGCAAGCAGTATTCATTTCCAGAGTGTTTCACAAGTCATAGCATAGTGGTACACCTAGCATTTGTACAAAAAGCCCAGCTACCAGGCAGCAAGAGAAAGAAGGAGAGAAGATGACCGAGAGAGGTGGAGAGACAGAGAGACTCTCTTAGAATCTGGACATAAAAAAGAGCTAGTCATACCTGAGCGATGAAGGCCAGCTGCAGAGGACGGAGCTCCGGAATAGCTTGTTGTGCCTCGGAGAGGAACGAATACTGTCTGCCAGTCTCTTCCTCACATTTTTATGGTCTTCAAAAGCAGAAGTAGGAAGATGAGAAATTTCCTCTTTGGTTAACTGGTGTCACAACCAAGTTTAAAAAAAGAGGATGGATGGTGACTTCTGGGAGAAGGTAAACTACACTAATTTCCCAGTCCATGGAAGCACAAGTGGCAGTGGACCAAGACCCGATGTGCACTTGTGTCATCATGCAAATGAGCGTGACCACTATGCAGATTATGTAGCCGCTAATGTGTGGTTTTCCTAGGTTAGAGAATGTGTTGTTTGGAATTTTTGGAAATTGCCTATTGCAATGAATCTGTAGATTGCTTTGGGTAGAACAAACATTTTAACAATATTAATTCTTCCAATCCATGAACATGGAATATTTTCCCATTTCTTTGTGTCTTTCCTAGTTCTTTCATCAATGTCTTAGAGTTTTCAAGGTACAGGTCTTTCACACTCATGGTTAAGTTTATTCCTAAGTAGTTTATTGGTTTTGATGCTATTGTAAATGGGGTTGTTTTCTTCATTTCTCCTTCAGCTATTTTGTTGTTCATGTACAGAAATGCACCAGACTTTGTTTAACTCAGCTACTGTGGAGTGCCTGCCTCAGGACAGCCCTCACATTTCAGAATATGAATGAGCAGCTGGTTCATAACCGGTGCATGGAGTCTAGAAAAGGGGCCTTCCCTACCCTCATTGGCACATCTGTATTTTCACACTTACTATAGCACTGAACTGAAACCTTACTCACCTATCTGGTTCCTGTAAGAGGCTGCGAACTCTTTTAAAGCTGGGTCTGCCTCGATGCCTGACATACATACTCAGGCAGTAAGTGTTTGCTGCCTGAGTGGGTGAGCAGGGATTTGACAGTGTTTTCACTCAAATAAGCGTGTGCCTACTATGTGTCAGCTGCTGTGCTGGCTCTGCACTGTCCATTGGAGGGAGCCTCTGACTTTTACAGGGAGGGGAGAAATAGATTCTACTGTGGGGCAAGCACAGCCCAGTAGGCCTGCTCACCAAGACCTTTTTGATTCTCAGTGTGGCTGCTAGTGCCTTGATATCAGGAAGGCAGAGGAGTTCCCGCCAAGATGGAGGTGTAGGTAGAAACCCTTCGCTTCCTCACACAACCAAAAGGAGGATAACGACCAATCTAAAATCAATAAACAACCAGAAGTGCCAGAAAAATCAAACCGCATGGAACTCCGACAACCAAGGAATTAAAGAAAAAAATCAATCAGAACAACCAGACTGGTAAGGCAGTGGACCTTGCAGCTGGCCAACTGAGAAAAACCGCAGCAAGGCCGTAGACCTTGTGGGCAGGGCTAGCTGTGGCTCAGCAGTGGGCTGTTGGGTGGGGCTGAATTAAGGGGAAACTGAGACTCAGAGTTGACGGTGGACTATGATGGTTGGCACTGTGGGAGAAACTCCCAGTCTTACATGAGAGTCCGTTGAAAAGTGGGCTAGAGCCAAGCAGGTGAGTTGTACTGTTCCCCCTCTGGGCCCTCCCCCACAGGCAGTAGCACAGGGAAGAGAGTTGCTCTGTTGGGTGGACCCCTAAGGCCCTACCTCCTTAAAACTTGTCAGCTGCACCAAGACAAAGAAGGAGGGCCCAAATGAAAGAACAGAGCAAAACTTCAGAAGGAGAACCAAGTGATGAGAAGACAGCTAACCTATCTGATGGAGAATTTAAAGCCCTGATAATCAAAATGCAGATCTGATTGAGCTTGGTCAAAAAATGAAAAAAAAAAACAATAAAAGATACCCAGAATGAAATAAAGCAAAATATTCAGGGAACCAACAGTAATGGGAAGGAAACCAGGACTCACAGCAATGATTTGGAACAAAAGGAAAAAATAAACAGCCAACCAAAACAAAATGAAGGAATGGGAATTCAAAAAAGTGAAGAGAGTCTTACAAACCTTGGGACAACCTGAAATGTTCCAATATCCAAATCATAGGGGTTCCAGAAGGAGAAGAACAAGGAGAAGAAGTTGAAAACTTATTCAAATGAAGGAAAACTTCCCCAATCTGGCAGAGGAAATAGACTTCTAGGAAGCCCAGTGAGTCCCAAAGAAGTTGGACCCAAAGAGGAACACACCAAGGCACATCATCATTAAGTTACCCAAGATTAAAGATAAAGAGAAAATCCTAAAAGCAAAAAGAGAAAAGGAGACAGTTACCTACAAAGGAGTTCCCATGGGCTGATTTCTCTAAAGAAACCTTGCAGGCAAGAAGGGGCAGGAAAGAAGTATTCCCAATCATGAAAGGCAAGGACCTCCATCCAAGATTACTCCATCCAGCAAAGCTTTTATTTAGAATGGAAGGGCAGATAAAGAGCTTCCAAGATAAGGTGAAGTTAAAGGAGTTCATAATCAGCAAGCCCTTATTATATGAAAAGTTAAAGGGACTTATCTAAGAAATAGAAGATCAAAAATATGAACAGTAAAATGACAACAAACTCACAACAATGAACTGAAAATAAGAGAAAAACAATGAAAACAAAAATTAAGCAAACAACTAGAATAGAAATAGAATCAAAGAAATGGAGACCACATGGAGGGATTTCAGTGGAGAGAGGGAAGGGAGGAATGAGGGGGAAGATACAGGGAAGAAGAAGCATAATTAGTAGGCATAAAATAGATGGGGAGAGATAAAAATGGTATAGGAAACAGAGGACTCAAAGAACTTATATGTACAACCCATGGACATGAACTCCGGGGAGAATGCTGGAGTGTTGGGAGGGCAGGGAATGGGGGGAAAGGGGGAAAAATTGGGAAAACTGTAATAGCATAATCAATAAAATATTTTTAAAAATGGAAGGCAGACACAAGAGTTCTATCTTTTGTAAGTTCCAAGGGAATCTGAAAGCTGCATCCTATTTAATGTATCAATTTCTTGTGAGTTTGGTAAGCAGTGGCCTGTTCCCAGCTCTAAGCCCTCATAAAATTGGGTGCCTGGGTTCTGCAGACATCCCAGAGGCCTTGCCCAGGGAGCTGGTGACTCCTCTGTTTTGCCTCCACAGCATCCACTCTGCAAAATAACCACCAGTCCCCAAGCCTCCGTCATGGAACTACCTGCTTCCTCAGAGTTTTTATGTCAGGATCAGCAGGACCTGCTAGTCTCTTAGCTCTGTGGCTCTTCTGACAGAGAACATGAGATGCTCTCAATCTGTAGGTGTGATTAGAAGCCCATGGAGGGATGAAAGTCAGTGACAGGGAAGGAGGTGTGCCGGGGACTGGAGCCCTGTGCAAAGCCATTCTGTGCCTAGGGCACGAGATGGAAGTAGGAATTTCGAATATACTTCTCCATCTCTTGGTATCCAAGGTGTATGAGTCTCACTCTTTCTGCTCAAGGGAAATTTTGGCACCGTGGGGCAATGCCCTTGACGTAGTTGCCTACAGTAGTCTCTACATGTCTCATCCCAGCTGTGCGCTCAAAACCTGGCAGCATCCTGTCTCTCTAAGGAAGTGAAACATCTTGTGTCATGCAAGCAGATTGCACAATACATGCATTAAACTATGTCTCTCCAAGGAGTCCACTCAGACCACAGAGGGCAGAGATTGTGGCCCTGGGGCGGGCAGCTGGGAGAGTGATGGTAATGCGGATAGCAACTCAGGCCCCAGGAAATGAAAACAGCAGAGGTGAGAAGCGGGCCACGCCAGGATGTCGTGCGAAGCTTCAGTTTTGGGGAAATTCTTCAGTTCTTATATCATCCAAACTCTTCTCAGCTGCAAGTTGCCCTGTACCCTGGCAGGTCATTCTTCCAAGAAAGGAGACTGGCATTTATGCAGAGCAGCAAGTGCCATAGTACTATCTCATGTCTGATCGTGGGCTTTTGCCCTCTCTTACTGAGATTAGCATCACCCAAATGGTCTTCAATCACTTTAAACAAGAAGACAAGCAAATAATCACAGCTAGTTTCTTATATGATCAGGGGTGAATGTAGTAATGTCGGCTGTGAGCCATTCCTTAGTGTTTCTTTTCTTGTTCAGAACAGAACTAAGCCATGGCCGTCCCCATCACTTCCCCCAGATCCCAGCTGATCCTTGGCATTGACTTCCTAGCACGCTTCTGCCTTCCCTTCCATAGTTCCTGTGGGTCTCCCTGGTATCTGAAAGTATAAATGTCCTATGTAACCACATATGTCTCCATGGATACATTTCTCCTTTGCTCTCTGCTTTGAGGTTTATTTGGGATTGGACAATTGGATTTTTAGTTTTGAGGCCTCTGCTCTTCCTTTAGAGTATCATCTCCTTGGGCCCGCCACTCCCTCTTGGACCCAGGTCCTCAAGAAGGGCTTAGCTACATGAGCAGGTGGCTGGGTCTGGTGAGGTGTATGGTCTCCAGTGGCTTCTCCACCTCTGAGAGGCCCGTGAAACCTTGTCCTTTAGATCCAGCAAAGAAAGCCCCAGGGGTGGGAGTGCGAGGAATGCCAGGCCCTCATACTCCGCATCTCTTCTCATGTGATGTCACGAGAGTCGACCACAGACACAGGGCTCTGGTGCCACTTACACCAAGGGCGTGGACGTGTTGTCCATGAGGGGCCATACAAAAAAGGCTGCTACACAGGACCAATTTTTCAAAATAGGTTTTCACAGTGAGTGATATTTGATAAGATAGTTCTGGAACTAAACTAAGTTAACCAACATGTGCACAAGCAGAAAATTGTATATTAGAACTAGTAGTAATTTTAAAAACAGAAAAGGGCCAGTAGTAAATATTTTCAGCTCTGCAGGTCATACAGTCTCTGTTGCAACCGCTGAGCTCAGCCCTTGTCATGAGAAAGAAGCCACCGGTGATACACAGATGGGCGGCCCCAGCAGAATTTGCCCTGAGGGTCCTGGGATGCAAGCCCCTGTACTACAATGTTGTAACGTATCTTTTTTTCTGGGATATAAATTTAGAAAAAATACTTAAAAAAAAAAGTTGTCCTTTACTGAGCACCTACTGAGAGCCAGGCACTTTTGTCTCATGAACTTATT